GTCCCATCAAAATACAAACCACACCCGAACAGTTGGTGGCAGTAGTGCACCATGTTTGCACAGTTTGCACCGTATCTCCAATAAACCCCAAAGAAGAAGAAGTGAGTTTGGACCCAAAGCCCAGGGTGGACAGGTTCACGTGCCAGTGATTATTCCAACGCTAAAGAATTAATATTTAGCCCTACAAATGGGTAAGTACATGAAACATGTGCCTGTCAGGTCTCACTTGGTCAAGAGGGAGATGTCTACGGTGGCCGAGAGAGGTCACAACACACGCATACTCATGTTTTTTGTTGAAATTTTTTTTGTGTTTTGTAATACCGTGACCATTCGCTCGCAACTCACACAAAAAGACGACGTCTCTTCTATTTTCGAGCAGCGTGTAGAATGGATGCGGTGTGAATGCTCTAACCTGTTAACATGCTCGCCGAAATGAAAACGCCATTCACGAGCGCTACGTGAATGCATCACTTGCTGTATAAATGAGGCCCTCTCCACACACGACTCCTACTACCTGACTTTTTGATAAGTAGAGGTGTTGTGGCTCCAGCAGCACTTGTAAAAGCCATTGTTTCTAGCAAAGACGATGGAGAACAGGCGTTCTACTTCGGCGCTCGTCCTCGGCACCGACTAACGAGCGTATACTGCCCCCGTCAATTCCAATAGGAATTGACACGGCCCACTGAGGGCAAAGTTGTATCCGGTACTTACGGTACCGGAAAAAAAAACGGGTACCGGCGTGTTGGCATTGACTTGGTACCGAAGTATCGGTTCTCATGACAACCCTAATCTGAATACAAAATGGATTGAATGCAGGTATCGTTTGACTCAAAGTTTTGATACCACTTGGTGCTGGGTTATTTCAGTCGATACCTTAAGAGGTATCGAGTACAGACAGCACACTGCAGGGTGAGGACAAAAGAAAGAAGAAACAGTCCACTAGTTTAGCACAACGTTACCTGTACAGTAACTACGACCTCAATAATAAACATATAAGTGAATTTTAACATTTCTAACATTTCGCCAATCCTTGATCATTATGACCTCATGAAGACAGATGCCATGGCAGGGTTGTTGTTCTGGATCGCATTAGATTTTTGAGTTTTCTCAGATCTTATTTCTTTTTATTGGAACATATTGGAGAGTTTGACCTCTGCAAGCCTCTAAAAACTGACCAAATGAAATCATCTGTGGGGGAAACATAACTCTTTGTCTGGACTGCTCAGAGTTTACAGATACCTGTGGAAACTGTGATAAGGGCTCATGAGTAGGCGGTGCTTCGTTGCAAAGGCACAAGCCTACAGGGTCGGTAACCAGGCATCTAAATGAATACTGACATTAATACTGAAGTTGTTATGATTTCATAAGTAGGAGAGGTGGGGGAGGAAGGAGGTGGGGAGTAATCAGAGAGGGATAGAGAGGTGCACAGATGTAATCTCTCTGGATTTATTGAGGATTAATAAAGACTATTATACTTCAAGAACCAAGCCTGACCAAAAAGACTGACTAATACAGAAGCAGAGAGCCGCTGTTATTCACTTCAGGTCATGTAAATGCTAAAGGTCGAAGGTTATCTCCATCTTGTCACAGTAATTCAATAAAAACCTTCATGTAGAGAAAAAAGTGCCCTTAGAAGAACGGCCCCTAACTCAGCGATCAAACATAATTGTGTGTATAAAAAACACACACGTGCACAGAGACCCACAGATACACGCCGACGCACAGACCCAGTCACACACCATCTGTGATTAATGTGTGACACGCAGCAGTCCCATAGTCTTTTTCATCACATTCTTCAGCACAGAGCTGTGAAACAAAGGCCTGAGATTAAACAGCTCTCCTTCACATTGACTCATTAGTCTCTCTCACTCTCCCTCTCTCGTCGTGATCACTCTGTGTCTCACTCATTCAGGGCAAGGTCATTTAGGAGTCAGAGTGGTGGGCGGAGGAGGAAGAGGATGAGGAGGGAGAGGAAGAGTATTAGAAGAGTTAAGGACTATCCTGCAGGGATTTTCACTACGGCGGAGCTGCCATTTACACCCTAATGATGATCAGCTACTCAGTGGATCTATTTCCATTTAAATCCAGCTCCTCCGAAGAGACAGAAACTAGAGGCAGGACAGAAACACGAACGTGTGTGTGTGTGTACTGTATGTACACGAGGGTTTCAGGTCATACACATGAAGCACAATAACAGGTACATTATCAAGGTTTCCTATTCCCAGTGAAGGTTTGTTGGTTGTGTGTGGTATATGATTGCATTTGACTTTCATCACCCTGCTGAGTGTGTGTGTGTGTGTGTGTGTGTGTGTGTGTGTGTGTGTGTGTGTACACATGTGTATCTGTTGGGAAGAATGACCCAGATCAGAGCAGAGATGAGGGCTCTGTGTGAGCTCAGCTCGACGACTCTGTGGCCGAGTAAACTGTACATCCCATTTTTCAAAAAAGAGATGCAGAATGAGACAAGTCGTGTGTGTGTGCGTGTGTGTGTGTGTGTGTGTGTATGAGGGACAGAGAGAGAGAAACAGAGACGGGTAAGAAGGCAGAGGAGAGAAGCTAAAAACCCTCAAGTCTAAATGCTGAAGGCAAACCATTCATCTTTCCTCTCATATGCTCTTCTGGGCTTCAATCCCAGTCCTAGTGAGTGTGTGTGCGTGGTGTGTGTGTGTGTCTGCATCTCCCCACATATGGAGAGCAGTCTGAATGATGAACATGATCTCCATTGCAGCAGAACAATAGTGTTTCTAAATAGGACATGAGAGGCATTCAGCCTTCCCTCACACACTGTGTATGGGGTAACCGACGCTTGTTTGCAGGGGCTGAGGCGCACCGTGTGCAATGAGGCATCTGCTGCAGGTGATAGTGAGTGTATGTGTGTGTGTGTGTGTGTGTGTGTGTGTGCGTGTGCGTGTTTGGGTTTCTGTGTGGTTGTGTGCATCCATTAAGTGTCGTTCCCGACGGTGTCCGGAGTTTTTGCTACATCAATCAGATGCTTATTCAGAGAATGCTAGGCGTCGCTCTCGCAGTCGGGCAGGTGGCACCGAGCAGCTGGGTGATGGCTGCCAGCCTGGCCCCTGGCATCACCTCTGCTCTGAGACCACCCAGGCCTGCTCTCATACACCTGCTAGCTACCTGCCTCTGGAGCTTTTCACACCTGGATCTGTTTGCTTCTCAACAACCACAACATCCCGCACCTGTTTGGTAGCAACCTACTGTACCGTAATACCCCCACACCTGTTAATTAGCTATGAACAACAGCCGCCCTGCATGCTGTTGTCTAACCCAAATCCATCATAAATAAAGGGGGAAAGAGTAGCTGACAAAGATGTGTGTCTGTATACCAGTGTGTCTAACCTTTTTTCTTACTAGCACTGATGGCACTGCTTGAGAAAGTACTTTGTTTTTAGTGAAGGGATTCCTTTCCTCATGAAGTACTTAATTTCACCACAACTTAGTAGGCATGCCGTGGTAGTTGGTGTTACACCGTGTTCCGGCATACACCGATTACTTCACTTGCTAATTGTCCCCTTTGTGGTCTTGCCTTTTTTAATCAGTACTTAGTTGGATGACGGATGCTACAATTGTAAACTGTAGCTCCTTTTACACTGCCAGATTTTCAGCGAATGTTGGGCCGTATTGCCGGCAAGCTGCGAGCGTTTAGACACACAGAGCCGGATTGGCGAGTTGATCCGAGGTACCCAATTTTCCGCCTCATAGGGTAGACATATTGGTGGATCCTTTTTGGTTTAAACAGAACGAGGTGGCCGTCCGCAACAGGAGGGGCTGTTGAAGACTTGTGGGAGGAGCTGTTGATGACGCCGCACGTGCGAGCCACTGGCGGTGGATAAACAGGAAACAGCTGATAGCAGGAATTAGCGAGCAGCTAGTAGCAAGAGGGAAACACAAACCTGACAGACACTGTAAAGATGAGCAACTGGGGAGACAAGGAATTGTGCGCCCTCCTTGTCCTCGCAAACGAAGAGGCCATTAACCGTCAGATGACGGGGACGGTGAAGAACGGGCCGACTTATGAGAGAATCGCCGAAGGACTGACCAGCCGCGGCTTCCCTCTCACGTCACTGTTTAAGTCACACGCTGAGCTACACGTTTTGTTACTTGCTCACGCCCCCCATTGCCCTGAAAAAGGCACATTCTGTATAAACAAAAGTAGGAAGGCGGCATTTTGCTGCACTCCCCGATTTTGTTTTTATACTGCCAATGCTGAAAAAAGACTGATTGGGCTTTCCTGCAAATTTGCACAATTCCTATTTAAAAAGGGCTTGAAAGTGTCTGCTCAATACAGCAGCAGCAGCAGCAGCAGCAGCAGCAGCAGATTAACAGAACAGAGTAGCAGTGGTCTGATTTCACTTATTAAGTGACAAAAGTAAGGAGAGTTGACTGACAAGATGATGGCGAAGGATTCGGTGTCAAAGCAAAAAGCAAAATTGCCTATTGGGCAACATTTTGGATTTTAACCCAGTGCTAATAAGGAACCTATTATTGTTAATGAGGGAGAAGGATTTGATTACGTCACTAAGAAGTTGGAGGTGTGCAGCCTGTTGCCTGCAGCTCTCATCACTGTGGCTATTCCTTCTTGTTCTATTCCTCCCTGCAATATTTCAAATGGATCAGCTGTCAACAGAGGCCAAAAATGACAGTTGTCTTGTTTGGTAGATGTATTTTGGATGAACACCAGCGTTAGTACTATCGCACTGAAAAAGACACTGCATTTTCTGTGACTTCATAATAAAAGTCAGCTTGTGTTTTGCCAGTTAGATGTATCAGTGTAAAGCCATAGCAGTAGGAAGTGGTCCATTTGCACTAGCAAAAACAGATACTGAGCGTCATCTCCCCTCCCATCTTTTCTTGCAAAATGTCCAGTGTAATCTATAACACAGGAGTTGTTACCAGTTTATAACATTTCCTCACTGTGGCATCTCTATGACTTAGAGAAATAATGATGTTTCAAACTGTACAGCAGGTGTGGATCGTGTACTTACCTTTCCTCCTGGAGTCCCGTCTGACGCTGCTGGGCCTGACCGCTGGCTGTAGCTCTGTCTCTGTTGACATCCTCAGGCTCCAACTGGGCTAGACTCCGCTCCGCTTGGCTCCGCTGGGCTCCGAGGGTCCAGTTCACAGCGTCAGTGCCGGCTGTGCGTGCGTGGGCGCCGGGTGTGTGCGTGGAGGCGCCAGGTGTGTGTGTGGGCACACGGGCTCATGGGAGAGGGATGGGCTTTAGCCCTGACACAACATCCCACACACACCCACAGAGAGCTGGGGAGACAGAGAGGAAGAAAGAGGTTTGCTTCAGTTAGGCGCTGTTTACTCTTGGCAGGCGAAACCTTGCAAGAGTTCTCAGAAGGCATGACAATGAGCTTGTTTCTGATCGGGGGCCTTGAACAGATGTTGCCCATGGTAACAGACTGTAGAGACCTGCTCCACACTTCCTGCTTCCTGTCAATAATATGTCTCTGCAAGGACACTGCTTAAAATACAATCCCACCTCTCCAAGAGTTTTGATCAGTTTAATCAAAATTCTGGATAATTACAATCCTGGTCTTATTTATTTAGTTTTAGCCATCATTCCTGTCACTGCACTCATTGAGTTAATTGCTATGATTTGGGAACTCACTATAACAATGTTGGGGCAAGAACTATCCTATCTCAGCTGACATTGGGCGAGAGGCGGGGTACCAGACTATCACAAGACTGACACATAGAGACAAACAACGGCCAATTTAGAGTCCAATACCAGCGCATAGTTAACAAGCTGTATGCCTCAGTGTGGGGACTGGGATCATTCTTTTATGTGTAAGGCAACATCAGGTGTGCAGAGTTTGCATGTTCTTTGGGTACTCCGGCTTCCTCCCACAGTCCAAAGATGTGCAGGTTAGGTTAACTGGTGACTCTAAATTGACCGTAGGTGTGAATGTGAGTGTGAAAGTATTGTTATAATACAGTCAAATAAAGTACTGTTATAAGGTCAATATTGTACAACTATAAAAAAGTTGAATAAAGTACTGTTAATGAACTATTTCTCTAATTAAATAAATTAAACTGAAACCCCTTGTCTTAATATTTTTCCTGTGAGCCCAAAGCTCCCGATAAACAGTTAGGTGTTAGCAGAAAGTTAAACTCTTACAGTGGCACTGCTAATTTCAAGGATTTGTTCACTTTCAGCAGGAAACAAACAAACAGCTCTTAAGTTAATTCATCAATATTTGCAAGTTGCACTGGTGCTCCATGGCCGCAAAATGCTGCTAAATGGTCTCAGTCTGGAGTCCTGCAGGTACAAGATTACACATCGCACCTCACAAGAAAGTGGTCTGGATGGGCAGGGAGTGTGTGTGACATATCATGTTTGTGCTGGTGGGTTAAAAAAATGACATGACAATTTATACTTAATATTAATATAGTCGTTTAATGCATCTTACGTGACACAAGCCCCAATACATTGAGTGTAATATATATATCACCCACCCCTACTGGTTATAATCCCTCATTGCATAGAAAAGTGTGTGTACACAACAACAATAAGTAAAGCAGGTCACAGTTGAACCTGTCTTGTAACCTGCGACGGGTGTTTTCAAGTGATACCAGGTAATAAATTAACATTAACCTCTTTGTTTTTACAAAAAAAAAAAAAAAAGAAAAAAGATTTGGCTAAACTGGACGTTTAAAACCTGTCTGTTCATCTGCTCATCGCCTTGTCTAACTTCCTCCAACAAGCTGTCCCATTCCTAGATCTTGGCAATTAACTCTGTGGCTCCAGTGTTATTATTACCAGTAGCAAAGATGGCCAAAACTAATAAGCCATGTTGGATGAAATTGTAATTTTCTTTTAATGCTACGACCACACTCGTTACCCACCCTGGGCTCTGTCCAGTGCCTGGTGGTCCCCTCTGGCCCCAGCAGTCTGTCCCTTCTTTGCCCATCTGCTGCTACTTTATTCTGAAGTGCTGACTGGCAGCGATGACGACAACATAGGAGCCAAAAACACTCAGATTTGCACTCTAACCCTGTCGCGTGAATGCATGAAAGCACACACCCATTTACATGCACACACAAATGCAGACAAGCTCCTTTCTTACGCAGAGATGGTGAAGTACAAAGACAGCAGGAGACAGCTGCAAGTTGACATGCTGCATAATGAATCTGACTACCTTCTGAGCTGCTCTTCACCTCTCCTTAGACTATCAGTCTTGACCTCTCCGTCCCTCTCCATCTCCATCTAACAGTGGCAGAGTGCAGACTTGAACAAACCGAAAAGACTGGTGCTTCTTGGGTAAGAGGGAAATCTCTCTTATTCTCTTCCTCCCCCTCTCCACGGTGTTTCTGTGTGAATAGGAGGCCCCTGTGAGCCTCGGGCGAGAACAGATGAATTGAGAGGCTTTTAATTTGCTGCAGACAGAACAGAACAGAGTCCATTTAATTCTGCCAGCAGAGGCCATGTCGGCAAAATGCTGACAATATTCTTTATCTGGTCCAAACACACTGGAAAAGTGTGAGTCACTCCAATTACAGGCATTATCAGCAGCACTGTTCCACCAAATGGATGGAGAGAGAGTGAGTATGAAGAGAGAAGGGTTAGAGGGAAGAGAAATGAACAGAGTGGGAAGAAAGTGAGGGGTGAGGGAACATAGAGTGGGTGAGTAAGATAATGAGCGAGGGGTAAAAGGGGAGAGAAAAAAGCCCAAGGAAGTAAAATCAGAACTGAAAGGATGGAGTCTGAGCGGCTCCAGCTCTAACCCTGAACATGTCCCCCTCTGTCCCCCTTCTCTCGCCTTTTTGTTCTCTGAATTTGTTCTTCTCCTTCTAGCTGTGAAGTCTTTCAGGCAGCATCTGGAGCTTGTGTTTAAGAAAAGCAGACTGTTAATCCTCAACTTGGACCAGAAAGGAAGCAGTCTAGAAACCCCCCTGAACTGCCTTAACCCAGAAAATAACAGCTTTAATTCTCCAGCTACAAACCCCAGGATTTAAGACGTGTTTCTGTGCTTTTACATCGAGTGTAAAATCAAAAATATATCACGGAAAAATTGCAAAATGAGTTCCGAGTTCATATTCTGTCCGCTAAATTGCTCCTGTGAGAGCACTACTCACTTAGTTGAAGAAGTCCAACTCATCCAACCATTGCGAGCAAAACAGCCACCACTCTACTGGTGAAAATGAGCAAGAAACAAGACTCTGAGGCTGAAAATGAAAAATCTGCTGCCGCGCCGCTCTCCAGACTTCTCCAAGGCTCCAGACATATGGTCGTTTCTCTGGAGACTCGAGGGGAAAGAGTTCTACATCTAAGCTACAGTCCCTGGAGGGGAGAACAAGCTAATTTCTCAAAAAAAAGGCAGCCCATGTCTAGCTTCAGCTGTACAAATTCCCTGCCTCTTACACACACACACACAGACAACATGAAAGAAAGAGCAGCGCCATCAAAAGCCATCGTGAACACTGTAGTGGCGGTTTGACCTGGAATCAGCGCGCGAGCTAAAAGTAGCAGCAGAGGAGGACGTGGAACACGGCTTAGCGTGTCTGGATTTAGACAGCAATCTGAAGCCGCACCAGAGGAGACGCGCATGGGAGGAAAGGAGGAGAAGGGAACGAGCGGTAAATTGGACGTCTGTAAATGGGGGCGCTGCCAACAGGCGCGAGTGGGTGATGTGAGGATCTGCCCATGTGTGTGTGTGTGTGTGTGTATGCACTCCGCTGTATGTGTGTGACTTGATAAACAGATGCTGCCAATAGGAGCTTAATGCCCAGAAATCATCTGCAGCTACAGTGAAGTCTGCCAGGCGAAAGGAAAGAAAAAAGAAAGACAGAGAAAAGGGGTGGGAGGGTGCTGGCTCTTTAGCCTCCCCTCTCTCGCTCCCACCTCACACTCTCAGGGTAATTGTGTTCTGTCCATCAGGCTCAGAGTTAGATTAGCGGCTCCACTCATTCAGCTCTCCTGCCATCTCTCAATAATGAATAATCATAGAGACCACCTCTACGCCACCCTTCTCTCTACCTGTGCTCTGTCCATCTTCTGCCTCCTCCCCCACCATCTTCCTCCTCCTCCTCCTCCTCCTCCTCCTCCTCCTCCTCTCCACTCACCAACCCTGCCACCTTTGTATCCTGACACTGATGCAGAGCCCTTATCAGCAACACATTTCTCCTCTGAGCTGTATACTTGTTGATGAATAACCATGACTGCGAGTACAAAAGGTTATCCATGTTACAGTCTGTCATGGTTCAGATGTCTGAATGGCAAATGAACAATCTTTCTTGAGACTGCGTTACAATCCGACGCCATCAAATGTTCCTAGTTTTAGGCTCAGAGATGCTTAATGTACCTTGAAAGGTCAACTGACAGAGCACACTACTATAGGAAACCACAGAGTGACATAATGTCAATCAAAGACCATTTGAACTCAGAAAAATGTGTATGTTAACAGCAATAACTAAAGATATAAAATATTGAGACCTACCAGTTTGTGATCTGTAGTATGTAAAATACAGTGCCCACCAAACTTCAGTAGTCTCACCAACTCAGGAAGAGAAGAAGAGTGGTGAAGAACGAAACGGGGCGTAACTTAAAGGGACAGCAGGAAGGGTGAAAGATCAACTGCTGAGAGGACAGGACATACCAATAGGTGAATGAGTTAATGTTAGTTTGTGTGCCAGAGAGAAAGACAGGGAGAAAGGAGGGGGAGGTACAAGGAAGGAAGAGACCTGAGGATATGAGCTGTAGGCTAAAGTTCAGTGTCAGATAACTGCTGCATATCACTTGACTCTGTCCAACCCTCAGCCAACAATACATGAAATACAGCGTCATTCACGTCAATGCCACATGTTTTAAGAGATAAGCACAGAACAAAGTATGACTGATAGAAGGCGAGGATTAAATTGCAAAACAGACCAACTAGGGTGGAAAATTTTAAGTAATTTCCTTATTTCCAAATCCAGTTCTCACAGCAATGTTGCGGTTGTGCTGACACTGGGTGAGAGGCAGGGTTCACCCTGGACAGGTCACCAGACTATCACAGGGCTGACACATAGAGACAGACAACCATTCACACTCACATTCACACCTACGGACAATTTAGAGTCACCAATTAACCTGCATGTCTTTGGACTGTGGGAGGAAGCTGGAGCACCTGGAGGAAACCCACGCTGACACAGGGAGAACATGCAATTTGAAGAGGTTGCAAACCCCCCATCCTGGGTTCAAACCAGTAACCCTCTGCTGTGAGGCACCAGTGCTAACCACTGCAACCACTGTGATTGAATTATATTTGAAA